ATACGTCATGGAGAAACATACAAAGCTTGATTCTAAAAATTTTTTTCTCTTGTAAGTTTTAAATGCACTTTTCGTCTCGAAGGTTTCTTTTTGAGGCGATGCCTACCGTTTAAAAAGAGAACAAGACTTAAGTACAGATAGAAATAAAAAAAAATTTCCTATTGCCTTTTCTGGCAATCCAGTATATTTCTGTAAAAATATGTTGTATATGTTATGTATGTGAGAATCGTAATAATAAACTAGTCCTCAAAATTAGAAATGTTTTCAAAAAGAAGAAAGCAGAATCGGTAACTAATTATAATTATAACAATTATTACTGAACTGTTTTTTGAATGAAAAAATCAACAACTTGGTATCGACAAGATAGGTTTAAAAACACGAAAAAAACTATTCCATTTGATATGGAAAGATTGGTGTCCAAAGATTGCAATTAAATAAAATAAACGTTTCTTCTCAACAATTTACCATTTACAGCGGTAGTAAATTTATATCTATTTTTACCCCGATACTAGGGAAAGGATAGTTTAAAAAGCATTTTCACATTTTGCAGCATTTCCCGAAAGCTTTGTAATTGACTTCAAAATGGTGTAGGAAAAAGTTAAAGCCAAAAGAACAGGCTTTCCAATGATACTTCTTCATTTCATTTCCTTTTATTTCAATGTAATGACATCTTTATTTACAGCTGATGCGTTCAACCAAACTTTTCTTACTATCCTTACCCCACTCTTCCCTACAACGAAAAGACATAAAAGAGATTTAAATCGAACTATCCAAGAACAAGGTGTAAAATGTCTAAGTTTCTTAAATCAAAAACGGTTTTTTATGTGCAGAATGGATTTTATTTGTATACAGTTTGAATTCTTTTTCTTTGTAGATCTTTAAATCTAACCCGAAGTAGAGCTTACAGTGGAGCTCTGTTCAGTGGAGCTGCTATCAGTGGAGCTCTGTTCAGTGGAGCTGCTATCAGTGGAGCTCTGTTCAGTGGAGCTGCTATCAGTGGAGCTCTGTTCAGTGGAGCTGCTATCAGTGGAGCTCTGTTCAGTGGAGCTCTGTTCAGTGGAGCTCTGTTCGGTGGAGCTCTGTTCAGTAGAGCTCTGTTCAGTGGAGCTGCTTTCGGTGGAGCTGCTATTTGTCGAGCTATCAGTAGAGGAGCTGCTATCAGTGGAGCTGGAGGAGCTGTCCAAAGGACTCTCTGTAGTGGTAAAGCAAGGTCTTGGGCGACGACAAGGTGGAGCCCATCTCTTAGGAGGAAAGCAACCAGGACCTCCGAAAGCACCGCGACTGCCAAATCCTCTAGGACCTCTGAAGTCTTGGAAGCCACCGTTGAAGCCACGTCTGCGGAATGATCCCACGCTGCGACCAACATCGAATCCTCGGCTACCACGTCCTCCGCGTCTTCCACCGCCTCCTTGGGCCACCACCACAGCCACTAGGGCAAAAAGAATAATTGCAATGTAGGCACGCATTTCCAGACTTTTGCTTCGATCGCAACTTATTCAAACTGATATTTTGAAGCCCCTTTTATACCCAAAACTCAGACAAAAGTCCACGCATCAGACGACCGAGAGTCCCCCATGACGTCAGCATCGCCTGTGTGCTTAGCTGGATTTTTTGAAGAATTGAGAATGAAGCGAAAAACGCGATGAGAGCGAGTAGAATCTAAGCCAAAATTCTTCTTTTTTAATTATTCGTGTACCTCTTGTTTTCTGCTTTGTTTGGCAACAGCTGGCTCATGTTTGAATTGAGTCCATTGTTTGAGTCTAAGACAGAGGGACTCTCCTATAAGACCCAATTCCAGCTTCAGCCTACCACTCATTGAAAATTAAATTTGTCCTAATAGAGCTTTCCAGTAGGAAGCAGCTGCTAGGCGGTAAAGAGATGAAGACTTATTTTACTTATATCGGGGTTAAATCATCAAAATAACTTACTCTTTTTATTATGTAATAATATTAGTGAAAAACAGTTTAACTTTGGTGTCTGATTTAGATTCAAATGATTCTTGCAAGGAAAAATCATCAATACTTGAAAAAATATTAATTTCTTAAAAAATAAATATTTTTGTCTAAATACATTTTTTTTTGAGCTGGCAGGGGTAGAAATAGGCTCTCAGCTTAAACCGGCACTATGGTTCGTATTAAATCTATACGTCACGGAGAAACATACAAAGATTGATCCTAAAAATGTTTCCCTTGTAATTATACCCGTTACTCGTAGAGTAAAAGGGTATACTAGATTCGTCGGAAAGTATGTAACAGGCAGAAGGAAGCGTTTCCGACCCCATAAAGTGTATATATTCTTGATTAGAATCACTAGCCGAATCGATCTAGCCATGTCCGTCTATCCGCTGAGATCTCGGAAACTATACAAGCTACAAACCGGGATTAGGCATGCAGATTCCTGAGATTCCTGCGTAGCGCAAGTTTGTTTCAGCAGAGTGCCACGCCCACTCTAACGCCCACAAACCGCCCAAAACTGTGGCTCCTACAGTTTTGATGCTAGAATAAAAATTTTAAATGAAATGTATTGTTCTCATCAATACCTACGCCACGCCCACTCTAACGCCCACAAACCGCCCAAACCGGTGGCGCCCACAATTTTTATGCTAGATAAAAAATTTTAACTGAAATATATTGGTCTCGTCAAAACCTATCGATTGATCCAAAAAAAAAGTTTGCCACGCCCACTCTAACGCCCATAACGCTTAAGTCTGTTTACCGCCGATAGGTGGCGCATTTAAATCTCGCTTTACTGCTTGCATATTCTGATAGTCGAGGTACTCGACTATACCATACTCGACCATCTTGGAAACAGTCACTTTGCTGCTTGCATATCTCACTCTTCCTCGCACTTCCTTAAGATAATTAATGGGTATCTGAAAATTGAGACACTCCACTAAAGCCTTCTCTCTTATTCGATTTAAAAAGCGTATTTTTTCACCACATCCGTTTTTTTTCGCTCATAGTAGGGGAGAGTGGGGTAAGGATAGTTAAGGGGGAAGGATAGTTTGTGCCGATTTAGAGGGCGACATTAAAAATTTGAGCTACAAACGCCATCAACTGAAGAAGTTGTGATTTAATTTCTGTCAACGTCATAGTTGATAAAATATCTTCATTCTGTTCGACACTATTAATTGGACATTGGTCGTTCTCAAGATTTTTTAATTTAATTTTTTTCTGAAGCAATTTTTGTGTCAAACGCGTACCCGCTTTTAATTTTTTTGTGTTCTTCTTTCTTGGTGATATTTGGCAACAACTCAAACACTCCCTGTGGGGCACGGATAGGTGAAGTTATTATTTATCATGAAGATAGGTTTAAAAAAACGAAAAAAACTATTCCATTTGATGTGGAAAGATTGGTGTCCAAAGATTGCAATTAAATAAGAAAAACGTTTTTTCTTAACCATTTACCATTTACAGCGGTAGTAAATTTATATTTTTTTTTACCCCAATACTAGGGAAAGGATAGTTTAAAAAGCATTTTCACATTTTGCAGCATTTCCCGAAAGCTTTGCAATTGACTTCAAAATGGTGTAGGAAAAAGTTAAAGCCAAAAGAACAGGCTTTCCAATGCTACCTCTTCATTTATTTCCTTTTATTTCAATGTGATGACATCTTTATTTACAGCTGATGTGTTCAACCAAAATTTTCTTACTATCCTTACCCCACTCTTCCCTACAACGAAAAGACATAAATGAGATTTAAATCGAACTATCCAAGAACAAGGTATAACATATGGGCTGAAAAGTCCCGGGCCTAACACATAGATGCTAACCTTCAAAAGATAACTGTTAAAATTTCATGATATTCTATTCATTAGTTTGTGAGTTATTGTGCTAAGAGTGACGCTACTTTTGGTTTTTTCAAAACAATGTATCAAAAACAATTTCGTGTTTTAATTTTACACTGCTTCTTGATGGAAAAAAATACCGTTCAAGCGAAGGAATGGCTTGAAAAGTGTTATGGGGACTCCGCTCCATCAGAAACAACAATAAAACTTTGGTTTGCTGGCTTCAAACGTGGTCGTAGAGACACCGATGATGCAGAACGCAGTGGACGTCCAAATGAGGCGGTAACACCAGAAAACATCAAGAAAATCCACAAAATCGTTTTGAATGATCGAAAAGTGAAGTTGCGTGAGTTAGCTGACATCGTAAAGATATCAAAAGAACTTGTTGGCTTTATATTGCATGAGCATTTGACTATGAGAAAGCTCTGTTCAAAATGGGTGCCGCGTTTGCTCACTGGTGACCAAAAACAAAAACGTGTTGATGATTCCGAGCAGTGTTTGGCCCTGTTTGAACGTAACAAATTGGAGTTTTTGCATAGATATGTGACAATGGATGAAACATGGATCCACCACTTCACTCCGGAATCAAAACGATCGTCATCTGAGTGGACAGCAACTGGTGAACCTCGTTCAAAGCGCCCGAGAGCACAACAATCTGCTGGAAAGGTTATGGCCTCGTTATTTTGGGATGTGCGTGGTGTAATATTCATCGACTATCTTGAGAAAGGACATACCATCAACAGTGAATATTATATAGCGTTATTGGAGCGTTTGAAGGCCGAAATTGCAAAGAAACGACCGCATATGGCGAAAAAAAAAATTTTGTTTCATCAAGACAACGCACCGTGTCACAAGTCAATCAAAACAATGACAAAACTACATGAATTGAACTTCGAATTGCTCCCACATCCACCGTATTCGCCAGATTTGGCCCCAGCGACTACTGGCTGTTCGCAGACCTAAAAAAATGCTCACCGGTAAGAAATTTCCCACGAATGAAGAGGTTATCGCTGAAACTGAGGCCTATTTTGAGGCAAAAGATAAATCGTTCTACAAAAGTGGTATTGAAATGTTAGAGCGGCGCTGGAATGATTGCGTTGCTCTTGATGGAGATTACGTTGATGAATAAAGCTAATTTTGAACCAAAAAAAACGTGTTTTCTTTGTTAGGCCCGGGACTTTTCAGCCCATGTGTTAAAATGGCTAAACGGTTTTTTACAGTGCAAAATGGATTTTATTTGTATACAGTTTGAATTCTTTTTCTTTGGTAGATCTTTTAATCTAACCCGAAGTAGAGCTTACAGTGGAGCTCTGTTCAGTGGAGCTGCTATCAGTGGAGCTCTGTTCAGTGGAGCTGCTATCAGTGGAGCTCTGTTCAGTGGAGCTGCTATCAGTGGAGCTCTGTTCAGTGGAGCTGCTATCAGTGGAGCTCTGTTCAGTGGAGCTGCTATCAGTGGAGCTCTGTTCAGTGGAGCTCTGTTCGGTGGAGCTCTGTTCAGTAGAGCTCTGTTCAGTCGAGCTGCTTTCGGTGGAGCTGCTATCAGTCGAGCTATCAGTAGAGGAGCTGCTATCAGTGGAGCTGGAGGAGCTGTCCAAAGGACTCTCTGTAGTGGTAAAGCAAGGTCTTGGGCGACGACAAGGTGGAGCCCATCTCTTAGGAGGAAAGCAACCAGGACCTCCGAAAGCACCGCGACCGCCAAATCCTCTAGGACCTCTGAAGTCTTGGAAGCCACCGTTGAAGCCACGTCTGCGGAATGATCCCACGCTGCGACCAACATCGAATCCTCGGCTACCACGGCCTCCGCGTCTTCCACCGCCTCCTTGGGCCAACACCACTGCCACTAGGGCAAGAAGAATAATTGCAATGTAGGCACGCATTTCCAGACTTTTGCTTCGATCGCAACTTATTCAAACTGATAGTTTGAAGCCCCTTTTATACCCAAAAACTCGACAAAAATCCACGCATCAGACAACCGAGAGTCCCCCATGACGTCAGCATCGCCTGTGTGCTTAGCTGGATTTTTTGAAGAATTGAGAATGAAGCGAAAAACTCGATGAGAACGCCTAGAAGATCTAAGCCAGAATTCTTCTTTTCTAATTATTCGTGTATCTCTTGTTTTCTGCTTTGTTTGGCAACAGCTGGCTCATGTTTGAATTGAGTCCATTGTTTGAGTCTAAGACAATTGCGGTGCTAAAGTCATTTCCGCAAATAAAAAATATTTTACTCATAACATCTCAAAAAAAAACAATGATAACGTTAAGAAAATAAACAAGAAAAATTAGACGCTAGAAAAACAAGAAAAGAAGCTAGTTTTGGCATTATCATTAAAAGCATTCGTATATTGGCGAACTGTATTTAAAAGTACAAGCTGTTGCTTGTCCAAGTTTTTTAGAAGTTACAAATTTAGGTTATCCAACCCTGTATTTAACGACAGTCGATGATTGGGCCCATTCTTCTCCTTTTATAGTTATATAACTACTTGTGGTATATTTAGGGTTACTATTCCCTTACGATAATGTATTAGAAAAGAGTGACTTATAATACGTCAACATGCCAATTCGATGAGTTGGTATGGTGTTATTATCAAATATTTATCGGCAAAACGAATTGATTTGCATTTATTAAGCTTGAAAAACTTCGATTCGATATTTTAAAATATATGTAATTTTGAGTTAAGAAAATTAAGGATTAAGCGAAATAGCTGCCTTGACTTAAATAGGTTGGGGTCGCTTTAAGTTTACACATCCACTTAGCCTTAATACTCGGCGAAAAACCTCCGAGGAGCCTCTTAATTTTCTGATTAGAATCAATCAAGCCGGTGGGTGAAAATGCGCCAAGACCAGGACGCAAAAGAGGGATGGGTGGCGTTGAAGGAACGCAACTTTCCTCGCTTTTCGCACATATGGATTTTTAAATTGAAATTTCGACGACCAGACGGAGGAGGGCATCTTTAAGAGCCGTGGAAATGGAATTGAAATGACAAAGGCAAACGAAAATGTGGCATAGATAAAATAAAATACAAATGAAAATTAATTTTTGCGGCAAAGCGAGCTCCACCGGATGTGTGTTTGTGTGGCATACGAAACTGTTGCCACATTTTCACGACCGTGTCAATACAATTTTTAGGATACGATCTTCTTGGTTTTCTGACAAGCCAAAACTTTTAGGTATTCTTCGCTTCCCTTCCCCCATTTCCTCTTACGGTCCTACCTTTTTTCCTCTTTTTTCCGCGCTTTTCTGAATTTTTTCGTACCTTTTGCTATCCCGCTACCCTGCTTGCCAAATTGTCGTCATATAAACTTTTGCCCCTTCTGGAAATTTCATTAACATTGATGCGGGAAGGTAAAACAGTATGAAGTGGGCTGCAAGGGGGGTCACGGGGGGGCTTAAAGAGGACTTTCATGGGCAGACAGGGGGATAGTGTAGAACTGCCCTTAACAATTACCACTTCACATGATACACACGCCCGCCCCACACACGAGTTTAAAGTTTTACGGCAGAAACGTGACGTTGCGTTGCCCCAAGAAACACCCATTTGTCCCCCACCCATTTGTGCCATTCCCCGTTCTGGAAAAATGCCCTTTGACCCCACATCCTTCAGTTTGGCGCCTTAATGCATTTGGAAAGTTTGCCGGCCACGTGAAGGAAGCTGCCGGATATCGAAACGGAAACACTTGCAGTTGGCGCCGCTGCGTTATTGCTGCGGTTCTGTTCCTGTTCCTCTTCCTCTTCCGCTTTCCGTTTATAGTTCTGCCATTTAGTTTCGATACTGGCTCCACCACGTGGAAGCCCCCTTCTGGAACACGCACATCACATCCGAGCCGGGCTATACGTTACCATTATGATTATTATGCGGCATTAGCTGCCTTCGACTGCCATAAATCAGAGCATTTTCTTGGCCAACAGCAGCAGCAGGTGGCGCCACCCATTTATCATGTATCAAATACGGATAGATATATGTGTGTATACTATAGGGGTACTCACAGTGCACCTGTAGCTTCATCCGCTTGCTCACCGTCGGCGGCACTCCGTTGGAGGCGATGCACATGTAGGCGCCCATTTCCGATCGCGTGATCTTCGACAGCGTCAGCATTTCGCCCTCCACCGATTGGGCTGCGGGTGGCAAGAATAATTGTGTGTGTAAGAATGTGTTCATATGCCTTATATATATACTAAAGACATGCGGTCGGTTAGTCGGTTCAAGGAGGCGACCCGTGCCACCCTAAGGTGCTTCAGTCATTGGGTAAACGTGGGGTTCCGCGTTCAGGAAGTTAGCTTTAAGGAATTGGTTTAAATGATTTAAGGCACTTCGGCAATATGAAAGAAAACTTAGCACGGCGTAACCCAAGAATTTAGAATATGTTTTCAGTGTTTGGTGCCTTAAAAATAAGTGGAATATTTTGGGTCTAGTTTTATTTATTCCTATTTCTTGTAATATTTATTAAATAGTATCTATCATTATACTCGTAAGTGGTTTAAGGTACTTCGGAAATATGAAAGAAAACTTTGCACGGCGTAACCCAAGAATTTAGAATATGTTTTCAGTGTTTGGTGCCTTAAACATAAGACGAGTATTTTAGTATAAGTTTTATTTATTCTTATTTCTTGTAATATTTATTAAATAGTGTCTATCATTACACTCGTAACACCCACAAATACTTGCAGGTGCTTCAATCAATCAAGTTAGCTTTAAGGAATTGATTTAAATGATTTAAGGCACTTCGGCAATATGAAAGAAAGAATTTGAAATATTTTTTCAATATTTGGTGCCTTGAAAATAAGACGAATATTTTAGGTTTAGTTTTATTTATTCCTATTTACCGTAATATTTATTGAATAGTGTCTATCATTATACTCGTAACACCCACAAATACTTGCAGGTGCTTCAATCTTTGGGTAAACGTGGGGTTCCGCGTTCAGGAAGTTAGCTTTAAGGAATTGATTTAAATGATTTAAGGTACTTCGGCAATATGAAAGAAAGAATTCGAAATATTTTTTCAGTATTTGGTGCCTTGAAAATAAGACGAATATTTTAGGTTAAGTATTATTTATTCCTATTTACTGTAATATTTATTGAATAGTGTGTATCATTATACTCGTAACACATACAAATACTTCCAGCTCTAGCGTCATTGCTCGTGAACTGCCATAAAATTCTATTTTAACTACAGCGTTCCTTCTTGTTTTAAATACACTTGACAATATCCAATTTTTAAATGCATTCTTTCTTACCTTTGGTTTTCTGGTGCGAACCACTGCGGGCGATGATCTCCCTGCCGTCCTCGCGGCGCCACGTAATCTTGGGCTTCGGATGACCACGCGCTCGGCAAACGAGCTTGGCGGATCCGCCCTCTGGAACCATCATGTCTCCAGAGGTCTCCTCGTTGATGATGTCCGGCGGAATGACCACCTCTAAGGTGGCGGTCTGTAAGCGAAAACATTTAGGTGAGTAATTGATCTTTTAATTTACCGGAAATCACGTATACGATCCGTTGTTAACGTAACGTATACGCCTAGTAGCACCGCTTGAAGAAACTTGTTATAAATGTGTATTCAGCCACCTATCAAGCTTTGTATACTACAGCTTTCAAAAAATTTGATGTTCTACTTTCCGGAGACGAAAATATTCAATGGTTCCTCATCCGTTTTTTTTGGCTAACACATCCATGTTGACATGCTATCAGCTTAATTGCCAATTATATATAAAGCCGTTTGTACTCCCTTCCGATTTCGTATCGAGTAATTGATATCTTTAAAGCAGTTCTTTGAGTAAAATAAAATGTAAATAATTTCATTCGTTGTGCTTTTTACCAAAAAGCCATAAAAAATAGCACTAAAGTGCACCACTTTTAATGAGTATTGGTCAACAGTTTAAACGTACTCTGCGACAAATTGCCGTCTCATTATAAATCCCGGTATCCCGCACCTTTCCCCCTTTTATCCTTTTATCCTTTTTTAACATTTGTTTCATTTTGCGGTCGCTGGCTGCTAGCAACAATAACCGAATTGCTGCTATCATTGTCGTTGTCATTGTCATTGTTCTCGCTGCAGTTGACAGTTGTGTCATAAAATAAAGTTGACGTCACTGGGAAAAAAGAAGAGGCCGGCTGGCAGAAAGGAGGGGGCGAGAAAAAAAATGGAAAACCCCAAAACGAGTCAAGCGCGAAATTTATACGACAGTGGGTAAAAGAGGCTGGAAAGCAGGACGCCAGGCGAGAAAGCTGGAGAAATGTCAAGCCTGTTTGCTTTTTATTTGTCTCATATTTGCTTTTCACTCAATTCGCTTTGTTAGGTTGATTTTATTACAAACCGGCGGATGGTTGGGCCGCCGCCCACCCGCATTTTCCTCATCATCCTTGCAGCATAAATGAAATGAAATTGAAAACGCAATCGTTTTCCACATGTCGTTTAATGGCGGGGTGGTGCTCCATAAAAAAAACTCAATTCAACTCGACTCTCGACTCGACTCGAGTAACAGCAAACGTCACATGAGAACCATGCACACACAGAGGAAAATTCCCCCCGGAAAATTTCAGAGGAATACCCTATCCCTTACCCCTACACACACACACCCATATAAGCGCTCTTTGATGACGTCAACGTTGCAAGGGCACTGTGTTTGTTATTTATTTTTGTCATTAAAGCGCTTCATTGTTTATATATCGTGTTTAAATATCGCACACACACTAGTGCAAAAAAAGGAAGGAAAATCGGAGGCCAGGATATGCAGGATACATTTACAAACACCAACACATGCAGATCCCCGACATTCCCGGCATAATTTCATTATACCCCTACTTCGTCCGTAACGTTTTTTGCTGTCCTGGGGAAAATGCAACTGAAAGAAGATAGCTTTGATGCTTTGTTAGTTTCAAGAAATTAGGCTGCAGCAAAAAATTAAAGGCTTCCGGAAGAT